CAAACATTTCTTAAAAGTTAAGAGAAAAATGTTGGCTTATCAGAGTCTCTCTCAGGAAGAGTGCTCTGCAGGCATTAGGGGGAGGATTGCTTAGAGTACAATCAAGGGACATTCCTTCCCACTCCAGCTCACAGAGGCCACTAGAGGTGGAGGGGCATTTGCTTCATAATAGAGATGGAGTGTGGGACAGGAAACAGGGTGGGACTCAAAGGGTGGAAGACAGGGCAAGTTGTGGTGACAAAACCTCCTGAATTATCACTGTCAATACAAAACCTAAAGTGTCAGATGCCAGAAAGATCCTGAGCTCTGAGGAGAAACATAGCAGCACCAGATGAGTGCTCATTACAAGGGTCTACAGAGCACATTTCAGCGATGAGTAAAAGGCCATTTTCCTTAGACAGGACATGGAGAGAAGAGAAGGCAGGTGGCTGAAAAATTACAAACAGTGTTATTTTTCCCCTAAATATTGGGACAGAAAAGGTCAGAGCCACAAAAATATGAAATCAAATAGATATCACCTGGAAAGAGGCACAAGGCTTCACGGGTATTGAATCAACTTTTTAGGCGGTGAGGCAGGCAGGGGTGTGGGGTATGGGCTGCAAAGGGATTTTTCTCACCTGAGACCCTGCTGAAGGCTCAACATTCAAAAGCCCAACAATATGAAAGATGGCGTCTTTGTTAATTACAGAGCTAAAGTCAATTTTAGGACTGTGAAATATGACTTTCATAAATGAATTCACAAACCCGTGTAGTTCAAAGCCCAGCTATGCTGAAAACCGAATTTGGCCCAGTTCACAGGACCTATGCACAAGACAGAAGCTCAGAGTCCATCCAAAGAATTTCAAAGCCTGTTTTGTTCCCTTCCTGAGTCTCTTGAGGTGTCCCCTTTCTCATTATTCTCATTATGCTACACATGAGTGTGTGCATTTGCATCTTCGAATCTGGGAATACAGGTATCTGTGTGTGCTCAGCTGTACTTATGGCCATGTGAGTGCGCAGAAATGGCTGAGTGTGCACAGGGGCGACGTGCTCTTTCCACAACGCTGCTCTCAACACATGAATGATTTGTCCTCACAAAGCTCAGAGCAAAGGGAATGTGAGGACAATAGGAATTGTTTGGAAGTCTCTCTCTTGGTAAGGCTGCTCACCTAAGAAAAGTCACAGAGGCCACAGATGATCAGCCAAACAATGCAGTATTGTTCTTCAGTGATGGCTTCTTCCCATCCAATCCTTTCCCTCTATTTCTCTTCCTTCTTCCTTCCAATCACTACAAGCCTGACATGCCTCTCCATATGCGATATACTTTAACTTACAGAGGAACCTGGTACCTGTTCCTCTTTCTAACTTACACGTGAGACATTGGGACCCTATATAATAGATGACAGGACACAGGTGACATCACACAGTTAAAGAGCAGCAGATTCCCAGAATAGACAAAATGCTTCCTGAAAACACAGAACTCAGAGCTCAGAGATGGAGAACATGGGCAGGATTATGGGAAATCTGACTCACCAATAATTTCCCCTATGTTAGACTGGAGCTTCTGTACAAATAAATAGGATACAGAAATAGACCTACCACAGGCCAAATGTCCTTTCTTTTTCAGTCTCCATCAAAGAGCAGGGCAAATGGAGGGACAGTCCCTTTTCTGGGTCAATTGTCCTGTTTAGTATGCTTCAAGCCATGGCCCTATCCTGCATCTACTCACAGCAGGCTCTACAAAAGGTTGTGTGATTGAAGCCTAAGGCCTCAGAAGAGTATGGAGATAGCATGTTTATACTCAGTGGTACAGCAGGGACACTGTAGTGACCAGGAATTTCAGTTGTGGTCCAAGATTTTTCAATACTTTTCTATGTACTGTTAGATGTTGTAATATATGTCTCAGTCCCATCCATATCAGACTGCAGCAAACTAAGGCCTGGAAATCAAAACTGGGCCATCAGCCATTGCTACACATAAAAGTTTAGTGGTCCAGCAACATCTATTCATTTACACATTGTGAATGTCTACTTTCATGGCACAACTGCAGAGTTGAGTAATGACAACAGACCCACCAAATGAAAGCATTTTCCGTCTGGTTCACAACAGAGATAAGTCAACATAATGCTCTAAATCTTTATGGACATAGACGCTGTGTAACTAAGAAATCCAAATAGTTCCCATGATTCCAAGACAAGAGGAGTAAACCAAAGTTATCTCAGATAAACCAGGAAGCTGGGACACCACTCCCTAGCATATAACCTCTGTGCTAAGACAGTCACATGCTAAAAGCAGGCCAAGGTCAAACTTCCACAGCAGACAGTAGATTAAATACCAGTATACACAGTAGATTAAATACCAATATACAGATTTCTTTCTGGCTGCTTAGATCTCTACTTGGCTGGCTGTACTTCCTAAATAGAGATACCACATAGTTTCCCAAACCTTGAGCCACTTCACCTTCACCAAAAAACATTTCATAAGACATCTAATGCCAGTTCTTTCCAAGATAGCAAAAATAAGTCCCCTTATCCATGAAACTGTGTAGGTACAAAACAAGGGGCTACACCCCAAAGGCAACCTAGACACCTGGCATGTGCTGAAGCAAGCTATGTCACATAGATATTTTATAACGTAAGTTGGTGATAAAAGTTAAGTTGAGCTGGTCAGATATAATATACAGCCTTAATATATGCCATACCTTGTGAATATGCATAAATTTTATGGTCAGGACACCTGCACACTTGACTCTGGTGTGCCATGAAGAGCCTATGATGAATGTTACTTACAAAGCACATAGCAAATGCAAATGTTATAACCTTGTAAATTGCAAATACTGTGAACTCTGAAACATATTTGACACTGTGAATGCCAGATCAAGATTGTGGAGCTGGTACTTCTTAAAAATGTCTCTGCAAGAGGAGAAAAGACAAAGAACTAATGAGGCCAAAGGCACCTTTCTCAAAACATCTACAATAAAAAAGTCCCAGTGTTAATAACACACATGCTAAAACCATTATATTCTCTTTTTAGCCACTTTTCTTGGTAAGACATTACTGCTCTCACAGAGGGAGTAGGTGCTTTACTTGATGCAAAGTGAAAATAGTCCACACTCATTATCACAAGTCCAGGCTCTGTCTGACTCACCTCTGCATTTCTGAAAGGATATTTTGTGCTGTGCCTGTAGCATAAGCACTCAATAAATGGTAGGTATCATCATCATCATCACCATCCTTTCAGCATCACCACCATCATCATCATTGTCCGCTCATCATCATCATCATCACCATCCTCAGTATCACCATCGTGATCATCATCATTCTCTCCCCTCTAATTCTAGATGAATTACAGGAAATGCCTAACAGAGGACAAAGCAATCATTCTAAAAACAAATCACAAGCCACTGAAGATAAAATTGGAAATAGATGTGGCAAAAATCTAGGCTAAGTGTTGAAGGTAATTGAGTATTAAATTCTGATTTTTAGCTGCCAAAGCAAAGAAGAAATAGGGCTGAAACTGCCTTAAACAAGCAACCTCAGTAGAGAAATATGTTCCTAACACAGATGGACTGACAGAACTACAAACTGGGTGTGGAACTCAGGGCCATGTAAGAAGCCCTGGCCACTCATCTGCCACCCTTGGGTCTATCTTCTGCCTCCGACACCAGAATATGTCTTCAAAATGCAGATTTGTTGCACCTTCTTATTTGAAAACTTTCATCAATGGTAATGGGGACTGAGACTAGTACAAGGGAGCTTGTTGAATGAAGGAAATGTTCTAAATATGGTTGATAATGGTAAATGCAGAGTACAGCAGATTTACTTAGAAAAGGCACTATATTGAACACTTAAACACAGGTCGATTCCATGATATGGAAATTTTAACTAATGATGTTTTTAAAAGAAAATTTCTCAATAATTTTGACTTGAACCTGTCTGGAGTTGTACCCCTTGCAAACACTGTGTGGAATGCTGTGGGTCTGTATCATTTGATTTCATCCACAGTGTGATATGTAGGACAAGTAAGAATGGTGTTCAAAACAGACACAACAATTTGGTTTTGCAATGACATAGTTAAGTGTGGCTTATAAAAGCATTGGTTCACAATCAGTTAGGAGAAAGTGGCCCTTCCTTCCCAACTGGTAGTTTGTGAATCACTGCTCCAGGACTGGTTTGTTAGCCTGACCTTCAAGCTCTTATAACCTACAGGCTCTGCAAGTTCATTTCCCTGTATCTCTTCTACAAGACATCCTTAAAGGACTTAGTTTCTGCTGGGAGTGACTACAAACATCTGAAATTCTAGCACTTGGGAGACTAAGGCAAGAAGATTGATAATAAGTTCAAGGCCAACCAGGGATGCATTGTGATTTCCAGGATATTCTGGGCTACAGTGTAAGACACTGTCCCAAAATGGGGTGAGGAGTGGATGATAACCAACAAAACCAAGCAATAGTAAGAAAACCAAAAAGAAAAAGGGAACATAGTTTCCAAATTCCTCAAAATCTTCCACTCACTCATGTTCTGCATCGTGCATGAACAAGTTTCCCAGACATTTCAAATGTCTTGCCCTCCCTTTCTAGTCTATTTTAATTCAACCTTACAAATTGGGCCTAGCTGTCTCCTCTTCTTAGACACTATCCTATTGCTCCTCCAATCAAATATTCTCTACCTGACTAGTCAACTTATTTCTCCAGACCTCAAACTTTTTATGCATGGAATCCAGTTATTAGTTTATAAGAAGTTCCAGAGTTTTGCTTTCCTCCAGTCCAGTGTCTGCATTCCTCCACATGAATTCTGCTATTCTTGCTCTGTTTATCTACACATTGGTCCCCCTCTCATGACCTCCAGGGAGGTGGGGGCTACACTGGGTCACCTCTGCAATACTGGGAAAGCCTCTTCAACATGAGTTGAATGAGTAAAAATTAAGGTCCTTTCTAGACCTACCCACTCTAGGAAAGGCAAGGGGTATAAAGATACGTGATTGCTAACCTGTTAGAAAGAGATCAAGATTAAGTGTCATACCTGGTAGAAATGAGGCCAGAAGGTGCTGATGGCAAGCTCTGCCTTCACCCAGCCCTCGGTGACAACCCCAGACACGTTCCAGACAGGGTTCCCTTGGGGACCACCATTCACCTTCACGTAGACATTCAAGGCTCCTGGGCTGGAGCGATCTCGGCTGGAGAAGTAGTAATGGAAGTCAATGCAGTGGGTGTCATTCTCCTTCAGGGTTGGCAGAAGAAGATGGGCTTTCTGGCCTGAGGCCCTTCCAGAGCTGTTCACCATCATGAAAGATCCTAGAGACCCACAGTGGGTAGTAAACAAAAACAAAGAGAGAAAATGTCCTCTGAAAACTTGTCATACCCATACATGGTACCTAGCAGGGAGGTTGGAAATGAAGTTCCTTTAGGTGACAGGTCAGGTTGACTCTGAAGAAGCCATATCCCCTCTCAGAGTCTGAGAAGGACTTCTATAACTAGGGCTAAAATTCCTCTTCGTGGTGGTATTGGAAGCATGAGGAGACAGATGATCCTAAACAGGAAGAATTTCTACCAAGTAGATTGCTTATCACTAAGTGCAGGACCTTGAAGGAAGCAAGGGATTAAAAACCCAAGAAGGGAGCCAACCACAGGTGAAACGGAATGGGAAATAACCTCACATAAGCTGGGATTTGCTCCAGATGAGGCAGAACCTCTACAATATGGGAGGATCCCATGCATGGACAGGTTCTATCTGGAGTTCTGCACTCAGCATTGGAAACCCCATAGTAATGGAGACCGTATACAAAGAGAGCATATCATATCTGAGGAAGAAATATACTCCCCAAAAGTGTGAGAACCAACTAGAATATGCTTAAGGAGAAATGCAAAGTGAGTGGTACTCTACGCACTTAGAGGCTAGTATTAACAGTAGGTATTTATTGGTAGAACATGTAACTGCTACTAATAACTATAACTGCTTCTAAGCATGCAAGAGGCTGTGCCATAGACCTGAGTATGTCTCTTTCCAGCTGCCGTGACAAATAGAAATGTCTCCTGTTATATACCCTTCTTTGGATCCAGGTCCTTTGGCACACTGGCTTTATAGTTCTCTCTGTAGAACCAGAGGCTATCACTTGACACTGGGCAACATTGTGGGACTTACTAATAGAAGCCACACAGGTGCCATTCTAGCTAGGCTTGTCTTCTGGCACTACTTTTTTGTGATAAGAAGCTGATGTTCCAATTGCCTTGGGACATCAATCTGTGAGTAAAGAGCCAAGTCCCCCCACTTGAAAGCAAGATGCACAACCATGTAGACAACATATCTAACCTACATCAGTCAACCTGCAATCGATGCACAGATCAGTGAATATAAGAATCAATATTTACTGTTGTTTGCCACTGCTTTCCTCCTGAGTGTTCACACAACATCGCTGTGACATTGGCTAATTGGTAAAAACCTCCCAAGAACAAGATTCAGATCCATCACTATGAGGAGGCACATCTTAGCTCGTTTTGCAACAGATTTTTATAACAAGTGAAATTTCTGCAAATGGAACCAACTGGCCAGAGACAAAGTGAGTCACTGCAGGTGGTTCCTCAGAGCCTGTACCACCTGGGATATCAAAGGGAATTTCACAACTGAGGGGGAAGGCTCAACTCTGCAACTTAAAAGTCTTATGAACCCAGCAGATAAATTCCAGTAATGCTGGGGTAAATGCTTTCTAGCTAGAAAAACAGAATTGCTTTGAAATCTTCTTGTGACCACTAAAATCTTCATTCTGAATGAAATCTTAAGACCCCTTATCATCAGGCAAAATGAGCCACTTCAGTAGCCATAAGTTACCTCACTCACCTTGATACCAGAGAGACTAAGTAAGGGCTGCAAGGTAATAAGGACTAGGCCATTCATATCTTGTTGAGGTTTTAAACAGAAAAGACCATTTACACCTTGTCTCCTGGATTCTGAACAAATTTACAAGTGGACACCGAAGGGAGATTATATTTAAAACCTCTATACAATTGCTTACAAAGCTGGACTAAAGAAAATATCAGTCTTGAAGACAAATTAGGCTTCAAGCACTACCCACATTCAAGAATAAAAAAATAAGGAAACCATCCTTAACTCAATCCAGATTTCTAGGGGAAAAGCTATTCTTCATGGAAGATGACTGGGGGCATTAGAATGAGCTCATATTAAACCAACAAACAAAATACAGAAAAAACAAGGAAGCCAAATAACAATAACAGAGAAAACTGTAGTCAGATTTTCAAAAATCTACCAATTGGAAAAATCACCCAGCTCCTGGGTTACTATCCAACTGAAGTGGAATAAGAGTTGCCAATAATATAAAGAGCCCTCCTTAATGTCCTGGCAATAACTGAGGATAAGTGGAAAGATATTTCCCTATTTACAGATGTTGTCTAATTATCAAAAGCCCCCAATGAACTAACAAGAAATAAAGCATGAAAAGGGGAAGTGAGGCCCAGAGATGAGACTGAGTCAACATCCATACCTGCGCTTGCTGGTCTACACACAAACTCCTGGTGGCACCCTTGCTAGTCTACACACAGACTCCGGGTGGCACCCTTGACAGATGGCTTATTGCTCTCAACCTTCACAAAGATTGGTGGCTGTCTTTGCCGCTGACCAGCTATGCATCCCAGGAGAGGCAGCCTGAGGAGTGAAATAAGCCTCTCTCCATCCCAGGTTGCACGATGTCTTCTGTCTACACTCACTCCAACTGTCCACCCACCAATCTACACCACTACACATGTACCCATAGCTCCTTATACTCCACAGCAGAGGAAGTCAGGACAGGGTCCTTCCAACAGCTCATGTCACCATTTCCTTTCATCCGAGTTTCAGTAGCTGAGCAAGCCTGCAGAGGAGGTGGCCTTTATTCTATTTAGTACAGCCTCACACAACTCTGGACACAGAAACACTGTTCAAGAGGATACAGAACTCGGTTTCAAAGAAGTCCTAGTATGCTGTGCACCTGTTCCATGCTTGGCCCTTAACAACTGGTTCCCTCTCATGCTCACATCCATCCTTTGTTATCTTCTCCCCCTCACAGATGGTCCTTCATTCACAGCCTCAGCATCACCCAAGAGCTCAGAAGATATGACACTCTCAGACTTCTGCATACCTATGTAGTCTGCACCTACATTTCTATCAAGAGCCTCAACTGATAATGCACACATACGGAAGTGTGGGAATGGGTGGTCCCTTCTCTTCTCTCAACCACACTGAATGCTCAGGATTTCATGAATCCAGGAGAAAGTAGAGCCACAGTGAAGGAGCCCAAATGGCTATGACTATATTGCAGGTCAACCACCTGTCGGGAGCCTCGTTTAGAACACAAAAGGATTCTTTAGAAGAATTACACTATAATTGGGTTATGAAGCTAATGGAATTTGGAGGTTTCTCTTTCTACAGCAGTGTCATTATTTGGGCTCCTCAGGAAGGCCCCCACTGTCTCTCTCAAACCTCTTTATTAAAGGGATTGAAAGTAGAAAGCAAAGTTACAAGATGCTGTAAATTGAGATGCCAATAAGAGAAGCAACCCTGGGTGGTTTGAATTAGAAGAAAATGTGCAAAGGCACAGAGACAGGAAACCACAGCAGCCAGAAAAGCAGGTGTTGAGTCTTAGTGAATGCCGGATGAGGCACTGTTAGCACTTTCCATTAGAGGTCTCGCGGCACCCTCCGGAAAAGCAAGAAGCCGTATCTCAGAGTCATTTGAGCCCAGGCCTGCCATTTCTAAGATTATTCAAGTGTGAGAACCCTGTTCTGAAGCAACTCAGTGGAGCCCTCTTTGATCAACAGGTTGGCATAATTAATATTATCCCAAGGCTGTCGGTTTCCTAGAGATCAAAAATGAGCCAGTCATTATGCCAAGATCAGTCAAAAAACAAGAAAGAGAGAGACTGTAAATACAGTCTTTTCCTTTGCCCTAAAAAAATGTACCAATGTGATAAGGAACATAAAACAGCATTAGTTTCCTCATAGTTATTATACGTAACACTGAAAATCGTGGAACTAAACCAGGAAGTACTCTCTGGCTGGCCATAAATTTTGCGTTTTCCCCCTCCGTGCATAATATTGCCTTGATAAGCGCCCCGTTACTGATGTGTCTGCCACACAGATACCCTTTTTGGAGGCAGCACGCTTCTCAGGAGCAGATGGTGGCTATTGTGTTTACACATGAGCACCTCAGGATTGCATTTCCTCACGTCGGCAGTAAAAAGAAAGTCCTAATTGAGTTTTTAATGGCTTTGCACATTGTTCATTAAGATTACATGAGTGTACTTGGGTGACTGGCAACTTAGGGCCTGCAGCTCTGAGAACAAGAACACAGAGTGGTCCCTGAAGACAGGTGGGCTGTCAGCTTCCAGTGCCAGGACCTGTGAAGGGAGAAAAACTAGAGGCAGAGGCCCAAGAGCTGCTGAAAGCCAAGCAACTGTAGCAACATGGGAAGGATCTGGATCTTCTATACCTTATGTCTAGTTTTTGTTCGGGTTCCGTTGTTCATTAGAGATGTGACTTTGAGAAAGTCCCCAACCCTCGGAGTACTCACCAATAAAATGGGATGTGGAAAGTGACATATGGAAGTTTGACGTTCATTTCAGTGAATATTAAATGATAAACCGTCCTTGACTTAATGAATGTGGATTTGGTAACAAATAGCAATAGCAGATGATATTATATTAACCCAGTAAGTGACTCTGACAATCCCTACAGGTTAGCAATTGGTTCAAACACTATTTAGCATTTCATTGAGGCAGTGTCAAGCTAGCCCTGTTTTAAAAAAGGTACACTGATGCACAGACCAGGCCGGGTGAGTGTGTGTGTGTATGTGTGTGCACGCGAACATGCTCAACTCATGGTTTCTGAGCTGTACATCAGAGTTCAGGCTGTGCATGCCTCTGTGGTGCAGCAACTCTGAACAAGAAGACCTAGGAAAGCTTAGCTTCCTGGAGGTAACAAGTTGCCTCTCCTTCTTGCAAAGCAATCTGGGGAAACATGCCCAAAGCTGTGCAATTTGAATATGGATAGCAGAGTCATCCAAAGCCAAAACTGGAATGAAGCCAGCATCTCAGAGTCTCAGGATCACTGTGTCATGTCACCTTGAACAAGCCACTTGCTCCACACACACTATGTGACTTCTTTATAAAATCAGGAAGTGGGACAGAGAAATCTCATCTACACCTCTTTGCCCTGGACCATGTCAAGAAAGTCTCTTCAACTCTCTCAGCTTCTGTTGACTCCTCTTCAGCACAGCCATAAAAACCCATTTTATACTGTACTCACAA